ATATTAATATTAAAAGATATTTCATTATAAGGAATATTGTAGCTATACATTAAACACTTCACCAATGTGATTGTGTTTTCATGCTAATACTAATATGATATTAATATTAAAAGATATTTCATTATAAGGAATATTGTAGCTATACATTAAGCACTTCACCAATGTGATTGTGTTTTCATGATGATACTAATATGATATTAATATTAAAAGATATTTCATTATAAGGAATATTGTAGCTATGCATTAAACACTTCACCAATGTGATTGTGTTTTCATGCTAATACTAATAATAAATGATATTTTTATTTTATTTGCAGTTGAAAGGGAAGGCTACAATAATTAGCAGTTCTGGAATTATTGAAAATGGAACAGTGCTGGACAATGGTCATCCAGTGGATGGGGATATTGTAATTCAACTGAACCAAGAGCATCAAGAAAAACTAAATTGTCTGGATCAGCGAGCTAGATCAATCCATTCAATTCAGTGTTTTGGAGAAGAAGAAAATAATCAAGAAGGAAAGCTAAAGTATACTAACAAATATATGGATCAAACCATCGGATTAAATCAGAGAGAACACACTGTACTGGTGCATCCAAATCAGTACAGTAGTCTAAGTTATCAGAACTTACATTTCAGAGAAAATCAAGCTGAATATTTCAGACAAAATTCAAAAAACCAGGATGCTAGATTATATCAACAATCTACAGATGCCAAATTTAAGCTAGAAGATAAACAATTATTGCATACTTCAAGTCAGGATATTGGATTAAGCCAACAAGATCAAGTTATCAGGCCAAATGAATTAGATTCATATAATAAGAAGTCAGATCAACAATTAAGTCAAGCTTGTCTGACTGAAACAGTTCATAAAATGAAAGTAAGTTATCCAGAAGAAACTAGCACAGTTAAAGAATCAGATCAGCCAGTCAGAATGAACCAGCTAGATAAGCATGCAAGACCAAATCAACACACACTACTTAATCAGACAAACCAACATCAAAAACATAATCAACCAAATCAAGATACAAGATTAAATGAACAAGATCAACACATCCACTTAAACCATTCAAACACAAATGTTGAACCAAATCAGAATGAAAGATTTCACCAACAAGATCAGAATGGGAAGCCTAACCCCAGACTAAACCAGTATGGGGTACTCATCCAGCCAGATCAGAATTCAAGATTAGATGAGCATAATAAACATATCCAACCAGATCAGAATACACGATTAGACCAATTTGACAACCATGCAACTCATTATCACCTAGAAGAACATCAGGCACATGATATTAATGTTGTTGGTAAGTGAGAAAGCAAAGTAGTGAAATGACAGCTAATGTAGAATTTAGAACACTTGAACATTGTTAAAGTATTATAATAATATGATGTTGTGATAACGGTAACTCTCTCTCAGTTTACAATTATTGAATAACAAGGTGTTTCTATGTTTATTACCATAGTTGTTCACTGTCACTAATTTCTCTTATTGCTGTATCTAAATTAGCAACATCTCATTTTTATTGTAGTTTCATACCTTAACAGTTCTACTTGTCACACTCTTGTCGTACATATTTGATATTTTTGTATCTTAATTTGCTACACTTTGTTATTGTACATTAATTTACTGTATATAGGTCTATACATATACCTGTAATTCTTCATGTTTATATCACTGTCTCTTGTAGTCTTATGTGTTGTTTTTATCCATTAGTTTACTGTGTGCAATATATTTCTCTGTACATACACTGTAATTCTTCATGTTTTGTAACTGTATGTTGTAGTTTTATAAACTGTAATACATAAACTCTATCACATCTGGATGGGTGTATCCTGCCTGAAAGGAAATATTGAACCATTGAATTAAAAACTGTTATAGGGAATAAAATTTTTAGTCATTCTTCCAAACAAAAAATAAACATTCGAGTTGGAATGTATGCAGTAAACAAATTTTATTTAATTTTGTGCATAATTTTTTTTTATAAATTTGCAGTTGAATTTTGGATTGATTTTAGCTCAGTCTGAACAAAATAATTAGTGTTTGTGAATGCTTAAAATCATAAAAATTTAGCTTGGTTATATGTAGTCAGAAGAAAAGATGTTTGCAAACAACTTCTGCGATAATTATAGTCTGATATTTCCAAAGCTTGCAAAAACATTTCTTTTATCATTTTACATTTCATTTCAATTATAATGTTGCAGTATGATACAAAAAATAGGTAATTCATTTTGTACTTGGTAATGTGAAATTTTGTTTTACCAACTAGGCCATGTTTACATTAAGTCTTATCAACCTACGTAACTGCTGATTGGACAAAGAAAACCACCAAAAAGAAATGTAAAAAATATGTAGATTAATGTAAAACCAACTTAAGATTTAATACATATATTAAAAGAAACATTTTGGTTAACTATTTTAAAAAAGTAAGCTTACTTATAATTTGAGTATTATTTTCATTGTAAGCCAGTGATTTTAAACAAGTGAAACTTATGATTTTATAAAATAAAAACTTTATAGGGTAGTTTGAGAAGAAAATAAGAAGGCATAAAAATCAGTACTTAAAATCTACAATACATGTAATAATATTTAATTATTTCTTAAAAATATATCTCAATGAAATCTTTTAGAATTTTCAAAGCTTCAAATTCACAAAAATATCACATAAGATATATACAGAAGTTCCATAATCTACAAAAAGTGCATCCCAAGTTTCAGACTAATTTAAGTTGGTAATTATTCTGTGAAATTCAATAAAATAAACCATAAGACAGGTGCATTAAAGTGATACACCAGGCCATCTGAGAGTTTGTTTATATATATACATGTATTTACATACACCCTTTAATTTTACATGTCCATGTTTCTGTATATTGTAGGTGTGTGTGTGTTGTTATGGTACGTTGTTGTATATATATATCTATACAGACACTACTCCTACATATTTACTTTACTGAATGTTGTAGTTCTGTGTCATTGTTGTTGTATATATATTAGGTCATCAAGTAATTAATGTCACTTTTTTTTTAGATGAAATAACCCGAACAACTTATATATCAAAACAAAACATTTATTAATTGAAATAGTCTCCATTCTTATCAATGATGTTTTTCCAACTTACAATCAGGTTGTTAATGCTGTGATTAAAGGCTTTGAAGCAAAAAATGTGTCGATGTCTTCTTTAACACCTTCCACATTTGCATATGTTTTCCCATTAAGATGGTGTTGCAGTGAACAAAAAAGATGGTAATCTGATGGTGCCATATCTGGAGAATATGGTGGGTGGGGGAGAACTTCCCAAGCCAACTCCATAATCTTGTTTTGCATCAAACATGCCACATGTGAACGTGCATTGTCATGGAGAAGAAGAACACCTTTCCGATTGACAAGTGAAGGGTGTTTCTGATGAAGGGTTTGATATAAACATTCCAGTTGACAGTTTGCTGTGGATTAAGGAGTTTGAAATGAATTACTCCTTTGATGTCCCACCAAATGCAAAGCATCACTTTCTGTGGATAGAGTCCAGGTTTTGGGGTGAGAAGTGGTTTTTGTCTGGGACTGAGCCATTGTTTTTGGCGTTTAATATATGAATAGAGAATCTATTTTTCATCACCGGCAACAATTCTGTCCAAAAATGGTTCACACACATATTACGTGCCAGAAGAGATGAAGCAATGTTCACACGTTGGAAAGGATGATCATCAGAGAGATCGTGAGGCACCTAAGCACTTTCTTTATAGAGTTTTCCCATATTCCTTAGATGTTTACGTATTGTTTCATGAGAGACAAGCGTCTTCAGAGCATCAGTATCAATTCCAACATGTTGGCCCCCAGCCATCACAGTTTTTAAGGCTAAAGTCACCAGAATGAAATTTGCTGAACCATCGTTGACATTTACGAACATTCAAAACATTTCCATAAACTTCTTTGATATTCTTTGTGGCTACAGAGGTGTTGCTTCCCTTCTTGTATTCAAACAGCATTACATGCCGAATGTGTGTCTCGTCGTGTGCTATCACTATAAGGGATTATATTGTACTAAACTTTACACATTATATAGGCTACACTAACGTGACGTTTAGGAGGTTCGTTTAACTATTATACGTGATGTACGTTTCTTGGGGGGTGGTTAATGAAAGTGTTCCAAAAATGCAACATTAATTTCTTGATGACCTAATATATGTATACAAATACACTATTCTCACACACACACACTGTATTCCTACATATTGACTTTACTGCATATTGTAGTTCTGTGTCAATGTTGTGTATTAATTTACTGTATATATATATATATATACACACACACAGTGTATTCCTACATATTTATGTTACTGAATGTTGTAGTTCTGTGAATTGTGGATGTACATGTATTTTCTGTACATATATGTGTCTATTCTTACACTGTAATTCTACATGTCTGTTACTATGTTACCTGAAGGATAACTTATTGCACATCACTGTACATAGTTCTTGTTGTTCTTGCTACTTGTCATTCTACAAACTAGTTTTAATTTGTAGTTCCTTTTTAATTTGCTATGTGCATATCTCAACTGCACACATTAAACTGTAGTTGACATTGCTTTTTCTTTCTTAAATTGCTACTTCTTATTGTATGTGTTTGCATATTGAATCTAAATTTTGTCAATAAAGAAATAACCATGGCTTAAGTATTACAGACATACCAGTCATACTTGCCATTATTGCCATGTGTCAGTTTAACTAATTCTAAATGTGTTGTTTTTACTTTGCTACATCTTGTTATACACTTGTGTTATTGTCGCTTTTGCTACATATCAGTTGTTATTGTTGTTATTACTCTAGTTCTATATGTTTTTCTTGCTACAGTTTAATGCACTGTTTTAAAGTGCTAGAGTGACTCTAGTTTTTAATGTAATGTTATGAGAAATTGATTTAAATTTTAGATCAAAAGCATCTAGAATTGTATATTTTAAAATAAAAAGGAAAAACTAACAGAAAATTAATAATTTTCATTTGATGAAGGCCTACCTCTTAAGGATGTTTCAAGTGAAAAACAGGAAACTAGAAGGAACTTTAATTCAGCTGACATGAAAAAAGTTAGCTATGGTAGTGAGGCTGAAGTCTGGGTTATCGATGAACCAGAATGTCATGATAATAATGAAGGTATGTTAGTTAGGTATTGTGTAGTTTTATAATTGAACAATTATCTGTTATTTGTCAAATGTGATTGCTTTCCAATTAAGTATTATGAACTCATTATTCAGTTAGTATAGTTCATAATTTTTATTTACTATTGTCTTCATTAATGTAATTAGACAAGGTAAAATGTTTTGCCGCACATGCATTTGCTATCATTAGATCAGATGTTGTTTCAAAGAACTATTAAGGGTAAACACAAGTATGCTCAAACTCTTCTCTAGTGCTAAACTTATCAAGACAACTCGTTTTTAAAGTTGTGTTGTGTATGAATCAACTAGTGTGGAAGAAAGAAAAATTGTTTAATGTTTCAAAAGACCTTGGTAATATTTTTTCTATTGCTTATAATTGTTATGCATTAAGAAAGACTTTCAATATTCAGTATTGTAAACTCTCTGCATGTGTACCTAACTGAGTTATCAAATTAAAGTGTGAATATAAAAATAAAATCTTTTGAATGTTAAAAGTGAATACCTTCTAATATTGAAAGTTAACTTGGACAGTTGTTGAGGTTTTTTCTGACAGCATCAAACTTGGGACATTTTCAATGTCGGAAGATGCTGTCATCTCAAAATTCTTCACAAAATTGCATTCACAATTTGCTGTTTTGTCTCATTAATTAGAGTTGTTTTTGTTGCTGTAAAGAAAAGTAAGATTTTCACAGGTTATCATCAGACAGTTACTGAGTTACAAGTAGGATTTATTTCAATATCTGGAATATCATACAGATCACCAACTCAAAAAAAAATGTTATATACAATTGTGTTTGAGCAGTTTGTTATGATTTACAAGATTATCTGTCTAAAGACCTTTAATTTTCAACCACTGAAGATACTAAGCTGAGTCTTAGCTGATTTACTCTGGCTCTTCCTGTCTGACTGACTTACTGTAGCTTTAATTTAGTTTTTATATATATTTTAGTTCTTGTGAACTTTGTGAATGTGAACTGGATGCTACTGGTTAACTAATCAAGAGTGTTTCATAGTAAGGACTGGAATATTTCTCCTAGAGATTTTAGGAGAATTGTTAAGAATTGCATCAGTTGGTGTCATTTAGGTTCTTTGCAGTCCAGTACAGCCCTTGCAAATGGAACTTTGTTCTCCAATTCTTGTTAGCTTATTTGTATACTGTCTTAGGTCAAACGTATGATCCATATTTTTCAGTAAAACTGAGTGATTAGTGGTATTTGCTAATCAATTAATTGACAGACCCATTAACCCTTTTACAACAGGTATATGAAAGTGCACGTCACAACATTTTACAGAGTTATATTCAAAATTTAATTAACTACGTTATAATCAATGTATACAAATAAAATTGGCATCAAAACATAGTTAATAAATCAAATTGTAATTTTCTTTTAAGTTTTAATTTTATACGAAAATATTTTTAAAATCTTCAATCTTCCCTAGTATAAGAATTGTAACATATGCTCTCTAGGTCCTCCTTCTTCTCTAATTTATTCACCATCCCTCTAAGAAGTACAGAATTTAATACAAATTACTTATTATAATATAAATATTACTCAAGCAAAGAATAATTTTTATAGCCTTTAATTTTATTTATTAGGGAGCCATAAACTAGCAAATTAGAGCCACTTGCCACATCCTCTTTTTTCACAAATTGCTAATAGTTTCCTCTGATGTTTTATACTATATTATTTATAACCAATGGAAAGCCAGAGTTTTGATTTATTAAATGATGTATTACATAACACTGTTATGTGTACAGAGAATTGTCTATTTCAGTTACAGTTAAAACTTTATTCCCACAGGAAACACAACTTTAATTACATATTTAGATAGCCAGAAAAATATGAATTATAGGACATTGTCTGCTTTTTAAGTGTTGTTATTCTGCGTTCTTAGGTGTAGTACTTAATTAAATAAAACACTATTTAGTGTGGTAGTACCATTAGTATAAAAACATAGGCTTAAGTTTCATTGACGTTCGACAGTAAAAGAAGAAAAGAAAACCCAGGTAAGTACTATATTTCTTGTTTTTCAAGTGTATTATTTATTTATTATTATTATAAGAATAAATAAAACAAAAATTAGAAACTTGTTAGGTTATTTAAGGCTAGATTAGGTAAGGTAAAGAAAAATAATAATAATTCTTCATGAAGTATGCCTGAAAGTAGCTCGTGTTAGATATAGTAACATGAGCTACACATTCACTGAGTGATTTTAAACTTGTGTGGTAGGATTATTAGTTAGACATTTTTCAAAAAGCTATATAGAAATAAAATTAAGTATAAATAGATGTATACTGTTACAAAACTTAAGCTATTTAGGATAAACAGTTGTGGTTTCCTGTTACCATTTACAGACATTCCAGAAAGAGAAAGAAAAAAAAAAGAGTAATTTAGAATTATTTCCTAATTGTTCTTATGGTGTTTATGAGGTCAGTGAAATCAACTGATCCTATATAGAGTTATAGTATAGAAGATGAAATATAAAGTTTTTCTGAAATAAACATTTGATATTTATTTAATAGGTTTTATAGTTTACACAAATTAAATTTTAAAATTTTTAGATGAAGAAAAGTATTTTTAATCTTAACTTGAAAATACTTTGGGCTCAGAGCAGTCAGCACTCTGACATCATATAATTATGGACATAAATTTTGTAACAATACTTAATTAAAAATTTTGACCTTTTGTCTATCAAAGACTTCTGATTTTTACTGAAAATTTGCCAAATTTTGTGAAGATACATTAAGTACTTTCAGAGTCATAGTATTTATACTACCATGGATTCATGGTGGTTAGAAGATCATGTGAAATACACAAGCCCATTGTAATAGGGTTACAACTAATTGATTACACAAATGTAATGAATCAATAGGGTTAATTCATTACATTTGAGTGATCGATTAACACAGTGTTCCCCAAACCATGGTATGTTCAACCAAAAAACGTTTGTGGTATGTACAGTCAGCTAGTTACCTTCCCTCTAGTCAGCATTTCAAAAAGAAAAAACTGTGGGTGCCAGTTTCCTTCACACCACCCAGCAGTTCAAGAAGGAAAAATAAGTTGGCAGTATATGCTATCAGACAGTTACCTTCTTTCTATTTAGCAGTTCAAGAATCACCAAAGCTGAACATACTTGAGGTAAAAGAAAAACAACTTATAATGCTAAAATTGGACAGAGCACACTTAGCCCATTTTGTAGCTTTGCGCTTAACAACAAATAAATGTAATAACAATATTTCTGTTACTTAAATAGTGGGAATAATTGGCTTACAAAGGGTATAAGACATAGAATTAAAGAAAAGCATCATAAATTTAAGAGATTTAGATTTGTTAGTATGATAGGAGATTTACAAGATTATATAAGATCAAGAAAGTTCGTGAAACAGGAAATTAGGATATTAAAAAGGATGTATGAGAAAAGGTTGGCTGAAAATGTAAAAATTAACAGTAAGGATTTCTTTAAATACAAAAGGATGATAGAGGAAGGCTTGTACCTGATGATTGTGAAATAGCAGGGTTATTAAATTCTTATTTTTCTTCAGTGTTTACTGATGAAAATTTAAGTGGTATTCCTCATCTTGAACAGTTGATAGATGGCAGTAAGATCGGACAATATGATTGCATTAATTCTGAATTTGTAAAGAAAAAATTGGATAGTTTAAGAAATGATAAGACTCCTGAGCCATATAATATTCCCCAAGAGTTTTGAAGGTGGTTAAGGATTGGATATGTGAGACACTTGCTACTATTTTTTTATAAGTCCTTGAATAGTGAGCAGGTACCAAAGGATTGGAATTTAGCTAATGTTACTCCTCTTTTCAAGGGAGATGATAAAAAATGTCCTAAAATTGTAGACCTATTAGTCTTACACCAGTTATGGGAGAAGTTTTGGAAAATCTGATAAAAAATGCTTTGCAAAGTCATTTAACAAAGTTTAGAATGTAATTGGATAGTGAATATGGTTTCACTAAGGGAAAATCTTGCCTTGCAAATCTTTTGACATTCTTTGAAAAGGTTACTGCTTATGTAGATTTGATATATCTGGATTTTCAGAAAGCATTTGACAAGGTGCCACATAAAAGGCTTGTAAAAAAATTAGCTCTTTAGGTGTGGGAGATAAGAAAGTAAATTGGATAGAAGAGAGGCCGGAAGGAAGAAAGCAGAGGGTTGTTACAAATGGAGTTCAGTCAAACTGGATTAATGTCACAAGTGGGGGTACATCATGGCTCAGTCTTAGGATCTTTGCTCTTATTGATTTACATTAGTAACATAGATGAAGGAATGGTCAGTAACTTATTTAAATTTGCTGATGATATTAAGGTCGTGGGTGTTGGTAACTATGAAGAGGATACTGCTGACTTACAAAAGGATTTAGATTATTTAGTGAGTTTGGCAACTAAATGGTAGATGGGTTTTAATTATAATAAATGCAAGATAATGCATGTGGGTTATCATAATTTAAATTATAAATATAATTTGGATGGGAATAACCTTAACAGTGTTATGAAATAAAGGGATCTTGGTGTAATGCTTGATCAGTCTCTTATGCTATCCAAGCAGTGTGCTGTTGCTAGTGGTAGGGCAGATAGGATTTTAGGTTGTATCTACAGAAATACTGAATACAACTCTAAAGAGGTTATACTTTCATTGTATAAGTCACTGGTTAGGCCACACTTGAAGTATTGTGTTTAGTCTTGGGCTCTTTACCTTAGGAAGAACATTGAATTGGTTAGTAGGATGGTGCCTGGTATAGATGGGGTATCGTAAGAGGAAATATTAAGATCTCTGAAATTGTTTTGTCTTGAAAAAAACAGGGTTAGAGGGGATCTGATTGAGGTGTTTAAGATTGTAAAGGAAATTTATAGTGTTGATGCATCATCTTTTTTTCATACTTAATGACAAGAATATCATGACTACGG